TTTGTCAGTTAAAGCCACGGCCATTCCGTTTAAAACATACAACCTCACCAGTCTTATTGGTGTTAGATCAGAAAACGATTAGAATGTTTGTCAGTTAAAGCCACGGCCATTCCGTTTAAAACATACAACCTCACCAGTCTTATTGGTGTTAGATCAGAAAACGATTAGAATGTTTGTCAGTTAAAGCCACGGCCATTCCGTTTAAAACACACAGTCTCACCAGTCTTATTGGTGTTAAATCAGAAAACGATTAGAATGTTTGTCAGTTAAAGCCACAGCCATTCCGTTTAAAACATACAGTCTCACCAGGCTTATTGGTGTTAAATCAGAAAACGATTAGAATGTTTGTCAGTTAAAGCCACAGCCATTCCGTTTAAAACATACAGCCTCACCAGTCTTATTGGTGTTAAATCAGAAAACGATTAGAATGTTTGTCAGTTAAAGCCACGGCCATTCCGTTTAAAACATACAGTCTCACCAGGCTTAATGGTGTTAAATCAGAAAACGATTAGAATGTTTGTCAGTTAAAGCCACAGCCATTCCGCTTAAAACATACAGTCTCACCAGGCTTAATGGTGTTAAATCAGAAAACGATTAGAATGTTTGTCAGTTAAAGCCACAGCCAGTCTATTTAAAAAATACAGTCTTATTGGTGTTAAATACAAAGTTTAATGGACAAATTCAGAAAATTCAACTTCTGAACAATGGCTCATACTAAAACCCCCCCCTCTCTCTCTCTCTATATATATATATATATCCATTAATACTTTGATTTATTTTCCATGAAGATATTTTATTCAATATGTATATCGCTTTATGAACAGTGTTTAGGCTTAACTATAAATGTTCATAACTCTTAAAATGGCCAATAAACAAAATGGGTGCTTTTATAGCCTAACTCTTACAATCAAGTTTTACTTTGGCATCATGTAATTACCATTGTCGGGTTAAATAATAAAATCCAAACGGATTTTTTCAGGTTATGTAAAATGAAATGAATAGTAGTCGTCACTGAATATGGAAATAAACGTTAGCAAAGAAATGTGTTTATATTTAACTCTATAAATAACTAGAAAAAGATAAAAGACGGAAATTCAATAAGATTAAAATAAAAATAACTAAACTAGAAACTGATTTTTGCGTTTTATTATAATTAATAATCTAATAGTAGCGTTTTCGCATTTCGCCTTTAATGCGTATTACATTAATATGGAAGAAAATAAAACACAGAAATATGTTTTTTTTCTAATGTCATAGAGGTCACAACTGTCAAACAATTGACCTTCATGTTTTTTTTTGTTTTTTTACCTTTACAGGCGAAGAATGAGCGACGTGGAAAGAGACCCCGCCCTCTGGCGGAGATCGAGGAGGGAAGCGTTCTTTTGTCGCGCCGACTCTCTTCCCGCAGGTTGTTCAACTGCATTTCCACAAGGGCGAGAGAGGGAGCTGCATTCGACTGTCGGGGATTTTGTGACTAAACATTGCATGAAAGAAATACTTGGTGGAGTTATTCCTCTTCATATGAGTTTATCAGACTTCTGCAATCTTACAGAAAAAGAACTGAAAACTGAGCTTGGAATCGAAAATCCAGAACAAAGAAAACGTATTTTGACAATAATACAGTTAGCGAAAGAGCTGGAAAGAGAATCGGAGGTAAGTAAAAAATATACATGTTGTTTTTGATTTATAAGATGCTTTCTCACTAGCCAAAAAAGGAAAAATGTCAAATATACAACCAATGTGAATGCCGTTATAAGTTTAAAACTAAAATAAACTGTTTAAATAAAATGGAGTTTCAGGAATATATAGTTAAAAGCCACACTGAGCAAGTAGCTTGATGTTATGGTGGCTAAAGGTAAGCTTGAGGGCCTATAATACTAGAATTGTTGGTTCGATCCCTGTGGTGGACGCACCTCACTTTGTCCATTGTGTAGCTTTTCATTCAAATAAAGAAACAAAATGTAACGTTATTTTGGTAAGCTTTTACCAATAATAGCGGAAAATGAAACACTTGATGCTAAATAATTCTGCTTTCTTTCATGTTATTGTTGACTTTTCTAAAGTCTAGACAATAGTTCAGTGCTATATAGATTTTTGACCGAAAAATGTCACTTGTGCTGATAATTGGCCAGGTGTATCTTAGAAGAGGAGATACTAAGGGAGTCAAGCGATAGCTCGGTTTTCGAATTTCCCTCTGGCTCTATTGAAGTGGTGCGGGTAATATATGTATATCTTCTTTTGCCTTCGTTGACCAAGGAGCCTCCTCTTCCAAGCAGAAGGAACTGATGCTCCGACGATTGAATGCAGGACCTTCCCAGCATCAGTAGTAGAAAAAGATGGAGTCGTCTGGACCGTTTAAGTCTCGATGATTTGATGTCTGACGTTGACAAGGTGCCAGGCGGGACTCCATTACAAAAATGAAATCTGGGTCTGACGTGATAATAGCTAATATTTCTAATTAAATGGAATAACACCAAGAAGGAGGCATATGATCATCACCACAAATTTCAACTGTGACCACTTTGCTGCCTCCAGCAACCGTTTTATTATCTCTTGCTAATCAATAAAGAACACGGGCATTATAATTATGACACTCAACAGCATTTAAGAGTAGTCATATAGGCGGTGGGTACTTCCAACTGGTCGCTCTTCTTCTGGTCAATAGTTCTAAATTAGAGTGGCTACGCCTAAACCTTGGGATCTCTTACCTGACCGTTTTACTCATGTGTCCATATTGAAAATACCAAAATACCATATACTATATCTGATAAAAACAGGACCCATCACGGGATGATGCGTAGTACATGCATATCTAGGGTTTATTCATTCTCACTTGTCAGTATAGCGCGCTTATGAATAAATACCATTAAAAATCCAGCCACTACCACAACAGAAACAGTCCTTTTCAGATTCTAAATACTTTTCTGAACAGGGCAACATATTAGCAGCCAAAATGTAGGATAAAAATTAGTTAGAAATTAGTTTCTATCAATTGCTAAAATAATTTCATAACTAATTAATAATTAGATTTAAATAATAGGATAGGTTGCTAACCGTGAAACGGTTCACATATGATCATCACAACTACTAGCTTTTCATGTACTTTGATAATGTGCGTGGTGATCTGGAAAAAAATATACATAAGGACGAAAGGCTAAAATAACAACCTTGGCAGGACATTACCTATTATATATATTCATTGATATTCTCACCTAAGTTTTTTATTATACTGTTATTTTCTTTGGTGATGTTTTTCTTTATAATTTCGGGTATATTGGATAGGTGTAAACCATTATGTTATATGATATATGCTTAGCTAAAGATATGTGTAACTTGTTCAAATACTGATTCAGTGATAAAAAATATTATATTTAGTTATATTCTATAAAACAACATTAATAATATATCACGTCGGCGTGTTTTCCTCTTGGTTAATCATTTTCTTGTTTTTACTCTTCACGTGGAAAAATAAAAAACGCATGGCTTGGTGGTTAGGGCGCTCGACTTGCTATCTGCGGGTCGCAGATTCGCATTCCATCACCGAACAACTCGCCCTTTCAGCCATGGGAGCATTATAATGTGACGGTCAATCCCACTATTCGATTAGAGTTGTCCAACAGTTCGTGATGGATAGTGTTGACCTGATGCCTTCTCTTTGGTCTATCACCTTTACATTAGAGACAGCTGGTGTAGATAGCCCTCGAGTATCTTTTCGCGATATTCAAGAAATAAACAATTAAAAACGTTTTCATGATCTTAACAAATCTCTATACGTAAATACTTTTTAAAATGCCTGCCCACTTTATTAACTCCATCCTCATCTCAAATAATGTAGTTGTCTTGCTAATGGCTTGGACTTTATAGATTCAACAAGACGCCAGTGTGTGTTTTTGATTGCATTCGTTGAAGTGTATAGTGTGCAATTAGTTCATAGGCTTAAGTGGAAAATCACGATGATATTGAAGTTCATTCCAACTACGCTTAATTGAAGTAAGACCTGATGCCTGAGCTGACCAGAAAAGACACTGAAATCACTCCCATGCTCTTTGAAGAGAACCTATGTTGGTAAATATGAGTTCACTAGATTATTGTTTCAGAATGGATCTTGTCCATGCATAAATGTGGAGATGTCGATTTGTCCACCTCACCATGTTAAAACACCGTTCAAGTACACTTTGGGTGTTATTAGCCGTTATGCAAAGATCAGATATCACAATGCTTGCCAGGGGAAATATTCAAACGCTATTGCACCATCCAACAGTTCTAATTGTGAAAACAACACAAGTACACTTAGGTCCCTCATTTGTTTCTCTTTGTATTTTTAATTTATCTTTACTAAAAACAGTATGACATTCCACTCAAAAGATGATACATGATTCCAGCTAGTCATTTTTCATAGTTTGCACTACAACTACCACTGAAATTGCTTTTCTGTTTGTATTCAATATCAGATTTGTCAGACTAACTGTCAGCTACAATATGACACGTTTTGTAATTTCCTGCATATGTCATAATTGAACATAATCAAATCCTTATCTCTGTTGAAGGAATTGGCCAGTTAGGGTACAGTCTGGTATCTGTTGCACTTTGTAGGTTTATCATTTTTTCTTGGTAAATCACCAGTGATTGGTTGTCATAGTTTTTCTGTTGCAGATGCATTCCATATAAATTGCAACCACTGAAGGAAGTCTTTGTGCAGTCAGTCCAAGAAATGGTCTTTGAGAACCACACTCATGCTAGACACGCCCCTTTGAAAGTCAGAAAATCCTTGCTCTTACTCATTGTCTTGAAGACTAATCACGATTTACTGCACCTCTGCTTATGAGGTTCATGCAGTCACTTGATATATCATATGATTAGTGTATATTGCATGTGCAAGTAAACAGACTGTTCTATAAGTATGTGTGTGTGTGTGGACTGTCAGTATATAATAAGTAATAATAAACATTAAAACTTTTGAATGTTGTGGATGTAAAAAGGCATTGCTGTGTATTTGAAGATATTCTAAGACATTTTGAAAGACTGATATCAGATGTCTCTGTGCAGTCAGTCAAAGAAAAGGTATTTGATAATGACACAATGAACATATAATTTTACCCTATGTTGTTGAATTATTCAACTGTAAGTGGTAGCATTAATTTTTAGTGAAGAAAATAGTCATTTTACTTTGATTGTTCTACATTATTAATGTTAATTGTTAATGCTTACATGAATATTTTATATTTCTCAACAGTTGTATTTTCATCAGTTAATTAATATTAATTACTGATCAAAGCAAGCTATCTACATAGACCAGAACTAAAAATTAACCTAGCATTGAATATACCTAATTTAATATATGGTTCTTATGTTTTTACTTATAATTATTAGAATTGTTTCACAGAAGAACTTAACACCAGTATTAGATCAGTGTTTTACGGTTGTGTTTAGGAGCTTATGAGCAAATGCATTTTGTAGTTATGTGTAAGACATAGTTAACATTTTTGGAAGTGTTTTTGTTGAACGCAAAGCTGCACAATGAGTAATCTGCTCTGATCACCTTAGGGATCGAACCCCGAACTTTAGTGCTATAAGCCTTCATACTTACAGCTGAGTCACGAGGTGTCTCTTGGAAAAAAAAGAAAACAGACAATTCGACGTAAACTCAAACCAATTATTCTGTGGAATCAAATTAAGGTTCACCTCATTTTACAATTTCAGCAAAATTCAGGATCTATGACAGTGTTTTGGATCTAATTGATAGTGTCTACTGATTATTTATTAAATAGCTTTCAAGTAGAGTTGTTATATAACTTTCTGGAAAACATTCACAGAATTTTTCCTTTACCTTATGGCATTTGCAAAAAATATAATAGGTAATTATAATTCTTTGTAACATGACTGTGCCTAGTTATTCCACTTTATTTTTTTCTTCTCATTCCACAGCCTACTTTGTTCAGAAAGTAGGTCATTTTTTGTTATGTTTAGCTCATGATCTCAGGTCTACATTCTATGTGAAATCTTTGCCATGGTATACAAGCTTCTGACATCACAAGAGACACATACTTAGAAATAAATATTGTCACATAAATGTACGAAAATATTCGCTCTTAAATCTTTACTGTAATCTCTGTCAAGCATGAATAGTTAGGTCACGTTTGTAGTTACTTACTACATGAAATATAAGCCATCAAGAGGTACTTGCAGAAAGAATAAAAAAGAAATAAAGTGTATGCTTTCTGCTTTCACTTGAACATGCAGTCAACACTCTTGATATTGTAAATAACTATTAGGTTTCACTGTACTTAACCTCATAGAATCGAAGTAACCTTGAGAGAAACCTCTAGCAAGTCACTATATCTAGAATACTCTTATCATTTCACAGAGCTTTGTATATTTTCTACAGACAAAAAAGATCAACACTGCACGTTGTTTCTATAACGAGAAAAAGCAAGGTCTACAGGTTTTGTTTCTCGTCATTCATACCAAGTGTTATTAAATTATTAATTAGTATTTTTTGTTAGGAAAAGACAGATTTAATTTCTTTTTGTCCTAATCACATGGAACTTTGCTCTTTTTTTTTAAGTGCGAGGACTTTCAAAACTATGTATGCCCATATAAACCGAGCAACAAACATAGTCAAATAATTTACTGATCACACAGCCTGTTGCAAA